CCGCCGCTAGCTCCCGCGCAGCATGCGGCGGGGCGGTCTGCTGGCGGCGGCGCTGCGGCGGCTGCCGCCTGGGGCGCCGGCTTGGTCCGGGCTCCAATACCGGCACGGAATCCCGCCCACCGCAAGCGCGCCACGCGGGCGGCAGCGGGGCCCCGCTCAGGCCGCCTTCAGCATCCGGCCGCCGGAGTGCGCCATCAGCTGCTGCCCGGCGTCCGCCGGCGGCTGCTGGCCATGGCCATGGCCATAGTGGTGGTGGTGGTGGCCGGCACCAGCGGCGGCGGCCGCAGACGCGATGTGGTGGTCGTGGGCAGAGCTGGGCAGTTCCATATCCAGTCCGTTCACGGTGAGAACCAGCTCGTGGAAGCGGGACAGGTACTCCTGGGGGCACCGGGGCAACGCGGCGGGACAGGGCGGCGAGACGGGTGAGGGCGCGCCAGAGGTGCGCGAGCGGCGGCCGCAGGGCGGAGGGGCCGTGGCGGCCAAATTGGGGCGCCCATCGCCGGCAGCGCGCGGCCCGCGGCGGGCAAGCCATGACCCGCCCCAATTGGCGGTGGGTGGGGCTGGCGCGGCAGGGGGCTGCGGTACAGAGGTGCGGGTGCCATCGGGTTGAGATCAGATCGCCGAAAAGCGCACCTCGACATCCAGCAAATGCAGCAGCTGCATGTCGTAAGCGCGCCGCCGCTGCGAATCCATCAGCACTGCGCGCGTACCGCATGGGGGACAGGTCTGAGATCGGCCGTTGGGCGGGCAACGCGGCCAAAGCAGCTGCGCGGGGCCGGCGGCCCTGCCGCGTGTGCAGACGTGCCCGGCCCGTGGGCGCCGCGGCGCAAGAGCTGGGCGCGCCGCCCACCTTCATATGCCTCCTGGATCTCTTGGAATCGCCGCTGAGCGGCCCCGCCGTCGTCGCCTCTGTGACGGTCCGGATGCCATTGCTGTACGCAGCGGGCGCGCGTGCGAAGCAGGCGGGGCGGTGAGCGCAAGGGGATGCGGGGACAGCCCAAGCAGCCACAGCAGGCGAAATTGGTTCGTCCCTACTCATGTGAACACCGCGCAGGCCCCTGAAGGCAGCAGCAGCAAAACGGGCCGTGTCAGCCAGAGGTCCGTGCCGCACCCTAGCAAGTTTTCTGTACGCGGCCCGTATCTGGCCTTGAGGGGCCTGGTAAGAGCGTTGATTTATGGAGATAGCGATAGTGAGCACAAAGTGCGGGAGCACGGGGCGCCTAGACCACTCGCATCCACGAGCACCCCGCTCACCGTCAAACCCACGCCCAGACGCTCATACAGCGTCACGGGAGAAGGTGGGCTGAAAAAATCACACATCCTACTGCCTGTGCTAGGAAACGCTGTGCTCCTGGGCCCCTACAAGGTCCTCGACCTCATCGCTTGGCCATCTCGCTGCTGCCAAGCCAAATGTGGTCGTTATCGCGTCTGTTGAGAGCATGCAACTTCAAACACACCACGGGCTGCAAGAGCAACAGGCTTACAGGGCTCAAAATTGCTCGGAAGCTAGGCGGGCCCAGCTTGCTTGCCCTCAACACTTGGGCGCAAGGCAAGAGTGACGGAGGCTGTAAGACGATGGTAATTAAAGACTCGAAACGTACGGGGTGCATGGGAGCGGTGCTGCTGATGTGCGGGGCGACTGCCAGTGCTGTGACCAGTTGTTGTGGTTCTGAGTTCAACAGCCCGTCCTTGCAGCCACATTGTTCTGGCGGTTGCGCGTAAACATCCATAGACAAAGTAATCTCCTTGTGCCGATAATGTGGATTGTGTGACGCCCATCGCACGAGTAAATGTCAGAAGGGTGCGCAAATCAGATGTGTTCCACGCTGATTTGGCTGCGATTGCAATCGCAGGCGCCGCCGTGGCAGACCGGCGCAGGGCGGCCTGTGCTGCTGCAGCGGCCCAACCATGGCCCTGCATGGCGCATGCGGTTTGTGGTCGCACGTGAGCTGAGGCGGTCTGCAACTAACCACAACTGAGGGCTCACTGCACAGGCTGGCGCACAACAGCGGTCAATTACAGTCTAGCTTCCATGTATAAGTGTTGAGGCGGATAGGTCCTAGCGATAACCTAATGTAGAAGTATGCTGCTGAGCGCTTGCTGTATTTTGGGGGCTCATCCTTGCGGGGCGGTCGTGTCCTGCTCTGCAGTCGTGCCGCCGATCTCCAGCGCGTAGAGGACATCCCCCCTGGTTCCAGCTGCTGACTACATGATGACACACGTGGCGTGTGCTGCATGACGAATTTCAATCAGCTGCTTGCCGGCTTAGGATTGCGCGGCTCCAAAGTCACACCTGACGGTGCCATCCTCTGCGACCTCATGTTGTGAATGCGAGGTCGCAGCGATCACAACAGTAAATAACAAGCAAACCGCAGCTATACATTTGACGCGACCTCTCGCAAGGTCCATAAATGTTTGGAAAATTCAAGCTCTCTGTGCGCCGCCCGTGCCGCCCGCGCCGCCCTTCCCGCTGCTGCCGCCCCTGCCGCCGCCACAGCCGCCTCATTGTAACACGGGCAGCTCCACTGAAAATAGATCGACCTTCACTATTTCTAGTCAGCCATGACGACCCTGGTAGCGCCCGACACGGCGACACTCGAGCAACAGATGGCTTCGACGCCGCCTGAGCAGCGCTGCGCTGTCTTCCTGCGGGTCGAGCGCGCCAACGCCGCGCAGCGGCGGGCAATGGTGGGCTGGCGCACCCGCGCGGGGGTGCGCATGGGTGCAACTTGGGCGCCTCGACGCTTGATCCCTTTCTTCTCAGGCCCGTCACCCGCGGCCGTCACCGGCTGGCGTCACCCGCTGGTGTCCCACGCCGTCGCCGGCTGGTGTCCCGCCCCGCTCGCACCTCAAGCGCGGGCTCGGGCTCGGGCCTAGATCGAAACCCGACCCGCCACACCTGGCACGCGCTCCGCCGCGCGTACCCTCCTCCTCCACCCCTCTCGCGCCGCAACCCCCCGCAACTGAACTGCCGCAGCAACTGCTGCGCAGCTCCAGCGAGGAGTCGCGCATCAAGGGGCTGGCTCAGCTGCAGGTCGCGTCGTACGAGGGGCGCGGGGCGCTGCAGAGGACGATGGAGATGACGCAGCTGGCCATGGATGCCGCCCTGACGCTGCACAAGGTGGCCCTTGTTTCCATGCGTGTTGGTTGGCACGTCTGTTGTTGCTTGTGTGGCACATCGGTTTCCTGTCGCAAGAGTATGATCTTGCGTGCCGTGTGTTGTGGGGATTGCGCGTGTGTGGGTTATGCATCGTGCATGTGTGTGTCCGCCGCGGTGTGCGTATGCTGATTACGTGGCGGGTGTGCAGTTCGCCTGGGATGGGCCCAGAGGCATACGGCATGTCAGGCCAGCAGTCGGCGCTTGAGTAGACGGGCTTCTGCAGTCGCGAGTGCGCCCACTGGGTGCTCACCGGCCGGCCGTGCCCAGAAGCCTGGGGCCATCACGCCATGCCATCACGCACCCTCCCAACAGCCCCCCCTGACCACAGCACTACGCCACGCCTGCTCACCCGGCCGTGCCCCCCACCGGCCCGCGACCCACGCCCCTTCCCCCTCTGGAACCTGCCCCTCGCATTCCCCAGCCGCCGCCCGCCGCGCCGCGCCGCCCGCCGCGGGCCCGTCCACCGCGGCCGCAGCGGCGCGGCGGTTGGTGCTGACCCTCGCGTCTGCGCAGTCAGCGGCCGACGCGGTGCTGCTGGAGAGCTCCAGGATTGCGCAGGGGCAGGAGGGCGCGGGCGAGTGGCTGCGGCGCATGGTCCGAGAGCAGACGGGCGCGGTGCGTGACGTGGCGCTGGGGGTCCCATTGGGGTAGCCCACGCAGCCATCGCCTGGGGCCCGCGTGCGAGGCGTGAGGACGCATGGGGTGGTCTTCTGACAACACCGCCCCCTTGAAATTTCAGCCTTGAAACGCCCCACCCCATCCAGGGGGGGTCATTGCGGCATGCGAGTCCTTCGCGGAGGAACCTGCCGACACCGGCCGGCCTTTGCAGCTGCTTTTTCCCCGCGTCCCGCCACGGGAGGCGCGGCCGCGGCGCCGCGCTCGCGGGGCCCGAGCCCTCCCGTCGGTCTGCCACGCCCGCACCCCATACGGGGCCCCCAATACGTATGTGCAATTGTGCCGCTCCCCCAGGTGCTGCGGCTGCTCGACCCCGGCCCCGACTGCCTAGGCCCCCTGGCCGCGCCCGCGCTGGAGGCGCGGTATGGCATCACGCTGACTCAGCTGGAGGTGGTTGCGCGGTTCCTCTTCATCACCCACGCAAAAGGGGCAGAGCCTGACGGCCTCGTCGCCGCGCTGAGGGTAGGGATCCGGTCGGATCAGAGCAAGCGGGGGCGGGGGCGGGGGTGCGTCCTCCTGTGCTGCGGCTTGACCTGGGTGTGACTGCTCGGCTGCCGGCCGCCTATTTCGTCCCAGCATGTGGCGGTCTCCTGAGTCTGCCGGCGCTTTGAGCTCAGTTGCAGGTTTGTTAACAAGAACGACCGAGCTGCGGCCGCGCGCCGCCGCCGCCTCCGCCGCCGCCGCCTCCGCCGCCGCCGCCGCCGCAGGAGGCCAGGGTGTGCACGGATCGGCTGATGGTGGCCGAGGGTGAGGATGACGTCACGCCATCGTCACACCGCTGTGTGTCGGGAGATGGACCTGAGACCCGTCCCAACAGTTGCACCGCTCACCCACTCCGACCCTGTGCACCCGGTGCAGGCAGCTTGTGCCTGCGCGGCGCTGACCGGGCGGGCATGTGCTTTGCTGCTCCACCAGAGTGTGGTGGGCTGGTGCCACAAAGCGGCATCATGGCAACCCACTGCCATCACACACACGCACACACGCGCACACACAACACACACGCACGCACGCACGCGCGCACACACACACATACACACATGCAAATCACAGGTAACAGCATATTTGCAAAATACATGATGGCTGACATCATCGAGTGGACGGATGGCTGGAGCCCTGAGGTGTGTATGTGTGTGTGTGCATGTGCGTGCGTGTGTGCATGTGTGTGCGCGTGGAGTGTTTTGTGTGTGCGGGGGGGGGGGG